TATATGTATAGATATTGATATATAAGTATATATGTACAAATGTTTTTTTTTTATTAAGTTTACCTACGCCTACTCGATTATGTCGTGACACGACATATATCATAATTTTAGATCAGCTTAAATTTATTTTATTTGTTTAGATTTGCGCTTGCTTTGTGTTTTATATCAAAAGGGTACTTGCGCATTTATTCTAATAATAATAATTATCAAATAAATGCACGAATTTAATGTATATGAAATATTGTTAACAAAGAATCCTAAATTTGTAATCAAAGAATGAAATTTTCTCTAATTAATTTGCAGCCTTCATCAGCGAAGATTTTCAATTTAAATTGGCAGCGTTTGTAATTAGGAAAATTGCAAAATAAGTCAAAGACAGCTGAAGGGCTGAGGGGTGGGCGGGTTGCCTAATTTTCTATTTGATTTATTTTGATGAAGAATCATTTGAGTTTTAACACAATTATGAGGCCTAAGCTGTTCATTGCCAAAGAAAATTGCCTTGGCATTTGTTGCATATAAACGTATATGGATTGTCTTAAGGCTCAAATTATAATGTAGGCCATGTTAACAAATTTAATAGAATGCCACGCGCACACACACGAACACATACACACACACACACACACGATAAATTTCACATGTATAGCAAAATGTCTGTCTGACAATAGAAGTGGCCACGCCTACAGACACACATAGGCGTCTACACACACACACACACACAGACGCATACACATCGCACTTAACTGTATGTGCAAGATTTTGATGTGGAATTTGTAAATATGGTCACGTATGTTATTATACCAAATATCTCTCATGGTTATGTTTATGTGCCATTCGAATGTGCAGCTCAGCGTCTTACAGTAAATTGACTTTTGTATTCTCTCTCATTTGAAATTGTGGCACACGCAATCCATAGATGTCTGAATGTGTGTGAATTGAGAAATTTGAATTTATATCGAATATTTTTGCCATACTTTGGTATTTTAATTAAATCAGTTTATGGCAATTGCTTTGGCCCTGATAAAAGCCTCGCTGCAGCTGCTTCAAGCATTAAAGGGATTCTACTGCAAGCTGCTTAGAATTAGCTGTTCAACAAGATGAATGTATGTATGTAATATACATATCAAGTATATTGGATTATTGATTAAACTGCTAATTATTTAGCTTGACTTGTCTCTAATAACAGCTTAGCTACAGCTTTTTTTTTTAAGATTAAAGAGACTTTTCTGCAAGCTGCTTAGAAGATTATAAATGAAGTACTTATCTATATATATAAAACAAAGTCGTGTTATGTGTTACAACAAAAATTTATCATGTGTAAATGTCTTTTCATAGGTTGTCTGTGATTTTTCTTGATAAGCTATTATCTATGTCTCGACTGTATTACTATTAATAAAAATTCCGCGTTCTAGAAGATCTAAGTTTCCCCATCGGACTCGTAATGCAATTAGGCAACGGAATATAGTGAGTCAATTATAGCGTCGCGTTAGTTTGGAGCAAAGAAGGGCCTTAATTCGTGCTTCTCAAACACAAGAGCAATGAGAGGCAGCCCGTCAAACGGCTAGATTAGAAACGAGAAATCGTCGAGCTTATCGTACAGATGAACAGAGGAAGGCAAGAATAAATGGTTCAAGTATTCGAGCAGCGTTTCGATATGATTGCACCATCGACTACACCTTGCATCGTTTAATTTGCATTGGTCCACTGGACGTTGTTTGCCAGCATTGTGGCGCATTGAAGTTTGCTGATGAAACGCCCTGTTTGTGCTGCCTTAGTGGTAAAGTGACCTTGCCCTTATATTTCTATCTATATTAATATTGTTTTGTATTATTATATTACGTTTATCAAAGCCGAATTAATTAATCGTGCTTGCCTTCATGCAAAGTTACAAAATATTTTAAATGTTTTCATATAGATGAGTATACAAGCTAACATTTATATACATTGTGATTATGAAATATTTATACATAATAAGAAATATCCATAATTTTAATATTTATAAAGCAGCTAATTAATTGCTTTTAACCAAATTATTGCTGCTTGACTTGATGCAAATTTTCAAAATATTTTAAAGTTGACTTGGAAATAGTAGGGCAGGTTGAGAGGCCTCCTAACTGCCCATGCTGCACGAGGCAGATACACATAAAAAGTAGCAAATCATTGCCGTCATGTGGGCATGTTGTTGAAATGTATCTTTCACGCTCAATTTATTTGTAATGATGTCGACAGCATGTAAGAAGCAGCAGCCGCAACAGCCGCAGCAGCAGCATCAGCAGGTTCAGCAACTTAGAGGCCTCTAGTGGCAGCTAGGTATTACTAGGCAAAACGAAAAAGAGACATGCATATACATATATAAAATGAAAACGTGGGGCAGGCAATGGCACATTAGTGCCCGCAAATCCCAATCATAAAGATGAGCAGCACGTGCGTGTAGTCAGCTAACTTTTCGCGAACGCATTTTTCATGTCGAACGCGTGGCAATCGGCATGGCAAATGATGTCCTCGGGGAGTACCCAAAACATTTCGTTCTATCTTATATTTTTTCCTGGGTTTTTGCTTTGCTTTTTTGCGTGTTACATTCGAAATGTCCGCGCTAATGAAATAAACATGTTTATTAGATACAAACGCGGCTCGAGCAGGTCTCTGCTGATTTCCTTCTTATTTTTTTTATACAATTTTTTTGCACGCTGCGTATGATTAATATTAAGTGTTAGCCTGCTTGCACCTGTCGTCTTTGTAATTAATTGAATTATATTTCTCAGGACGTGCCGCCAAGCAGAGTTCACATTATAAATTCAAAGGGCATCAAAAATAGCGGAAATGCAATTAAAATGTGCAGCATCTAGAGCTGGGTCTGCCTCTCTCCATCCCTCTCCATCTCTCGCCCTCTCTATATCTCTCTCTATTTTAGCCGCGGCGTGCTGGTCTGTAAGTGTGGCTAAGCGCAAATTACCAACAGCTACTTACAGCTGGCTGGAAAAAAAATGCAAAAAGGAAAAAAGGCAAAGCAGAACGAATGTAAAACGAAGCAAAGAAAATTCTGTTGCATGCGGTGCATGCTGTGCAAGGAACGAGAACTGGGCTCTATTATGCTTAATTAAGTTTTTGCTGGCAGTTGGCTGCCAGTTCTCTTGGAACGGCTGGAGGCACAGTTGGCCAAGTGCTAAAAAGTGCCCTCAATAGATTGTGTGCCGTAGTGGCCAAGCAAACTTATTAGTTGGCCATTGTAATGGAATGATAAACAGAGTGAGACGGAAACTGAGACAGAGAGAGACACAGAGAGAGAGAGATTCAGTGACGACAAGAATAATGTATGGAAATTAGATGGTTAGTTGTTAGGCTCATTTGGAGAATGCTCCAATAAACTTTGAAGGTGCTGTTACTTACTTGTTACTCAATTAGTAATAGTAGTAATTAGTAATATTTTATTTTTAAAGTTTTATATAATTAATTTGAAAAAATCCTTATTATTTTTAGAGCTTTTCCAGAGATTAAGAGATTCTAAAAGTTTTCTTTTTGTGATTCAATTTAAACATAAAAATAGTTCTACTGAAGTTTTAAATTATTTTACGGATGTTCACTTAAATCAATAAATAAATGATTCAATAAAATAAATAAAATAATAAAAA